TTGAGTCATCCTCTTTTTTGTTTGGTGATAAGTATGTCTTAATTAATATAATCCGTTTTTAGCTTTCTTGTTTTTTATGTGATTAGGATGCGCCATTATTCTTTTTTTTTTTTTTGGTTTATGGGTTAAAGGTGTCTGAATCCGACTTACGCACACCTTCATTAATCCCTTCCCGTTTTGGTCAAAGTCAAATTATCTACGCCGAAAATTAGATATTCACAAGAGATAAATTTGTCATGACTTGACCATAATAGATTGTCAAGATTTAAATTCTAGATATCTGAATTTACAACCAGTTTGATTCAAACCATTTGTTACAATTATTGAACTTATTTTATGGGTCCCTAAGTCAAGTGGAGTCATACTCACTAGTTTTATTATATGTCAAGTTGATTTTTTTTTTAAAATTTTTTATGTATGCTTGTTAATTTAGTCTTGGCTTGTCCTTGGTAAATTTGTTTTGGATTCGATTGATGATGGACTACTTATGAGGTCAACTAAATCATTTAAAGTTACTTTGGCCAGACCACTTCTATTGGTTCTGTTTTTGTTTTTTTTTTGGTTTTCTGGGTTTTTTTTTACCACGAAAGATTTTAAGCTTAAAAATTTTACATTGTACTTTTAATGTATTAAACAAATTACAAAATGATCCTTCTATTAATTTTCGTTATTTTTTACGTCAAAAAATAACCCATTGATATTGATAAAAAAATTAACGGAAGTTATGTTATAATATTTTTGATATATTAAGTATATAATATAAGAAAACTAAATTTTTAAGGAAAAAAAATAAAAAAAATTAATTTTTTTTAAGGTAGAAAGTATAATTCACCTTTTTTTTAGTCTTTCAAAAAATGGAAATTTTTTAATGATGGCTACGGTAAAGTGAGAGAAAACATTGAGATATTAAAGTTCTTTTAGTTGAAGCTGGCCAGCAACTATTGTAGTTGTTCATGAGCATTTGACAAAATGCACAGGCACCTAATGACTATACAGCAAATATACGTTATATAAGTCAAATTACAACTAATTTTTTTTACGAGTTTATGAGTTATAATTTGATCTTAAAAATCTGACTCTAACCTTTGAAAGTTATAATCTTTAGGGGTGGTTAGTGATTGAATTTGATTTTTGATAATTTAAAAGTTTCAGTTTCAATTCATTTTCATACCCCCTAGGAGTTAATCACCTTTCTTCCTCAAGAATAACTCTATCCCCGTACATGTCACGCTGGCCACCACCAAATCAGAGAGAGTAGTCGGCGCAAGTTTAGGCAGCCTTTAACCAAAAAAAAAAACTCTTCGAAAATTACAACTTTCAAGATGGATCACAATATTTCAAAATTGACTATGCCTATATAAGTTACTATTTTCACTTTAAAAATAATATTTTTTTGGTATAATAACCAACAACGGTATTGTAATGTTACCCACCCATCTAAGCAAACTGGAAGACTTTTTCCACCTAACATAAAACATGTCATAATCAGGAAAATAGTTACCACTGGACCAGTTGCCGACAATTTTAGACTAATCAATCAAACCCAACCAGCAGCCACATACTAACTCCATGGTAATTCCAATGGGAATTGGAGGTTGTGTTCGAATTTCGATAATTTATTAAGATTAGATAATAAAAAATTTATTTTTTATAAATACTTTAATTTTGACATAAATAATTTATTTTTAATCGGATCGAATAGACAACTAATTAATCAAATATAAACTACTCTACACACACTACCCATTAAATAAAAATATATATAACACTATAGTACTACCGTATGCTTCTTCACCAGAAGGGGACTGCCCACCAAATCCAACATTTTTCAACGGTATGCAGATTAAAAAAAAGAAAGTTATTTCTTGTAGCTTTAATTGATGTAAGCCTTAATTAAATAATTAATTATTCTCCTAATCATAGTCAGAATATCAAATAAGTATGATCTGAGAGAGAGAGAGAGAGAGAGAGCACGTTTCAGAAAATTTAATTCCCTTATCAAAGCTTACCATAGGAACTTGTTCATGTTTATCAAATCAAAGTAAGAAGACAAATAAAAAGACGAATATGATAATACCGACCAACTCGAAATAGTCAAGAATATTATATATATAAAAGAAGATGATTAAGTTAACATGGAACTATTAATTATTGCTTGCTACATATTATTATCAAATAAAATTCTCAACGTCTGTACGGTTTGAATTTTTCAATACTTTTTTTTTTTTTTGGTTTAACGATAAGAGATGTACGGACTAATTTACATGCATCTCAACTAAACCTTTCTTGGTTCGGTCAAAGGGATGTCATCTACGCCAAAATTAAGGTATTCATGAAAGAGGAAGAGATAAATTTCTCCTGACCTGAATCAAAAGAGATTACCAATATTCATATTCATGACATATGAGTTTATCGGTTGTACCCGTTACCATTTGAGTTACTCTTTAAAGCCGAATCTTTCAATACAATTTTCCTCAATAGTAGACCAATTGTTAAAAAGTTAAGTAGAGCCAACCGTATATAATTAAATCTTTCGCCAAAAATATTTGAGGTGATTTACATTTATAAAAATTGATCAAGAACATTTGGGGGTTAAGCACCAATTAATTCCCACTTGTTAGACCATTATTTACTCTAATGCTCCGTTTGGTAGGAAGGATAAAAAGTAGGAGTGATAAAAAGTAAGTGGAATATATTTTCTATCATTTAAGAAATGAAACTAAGAATAGATGAAAAATAAAAATAATTAATTTTTTTTGGTGCTTGTAAGATGGAAAAAATTTTTTAATTTTTAATTTTTTTTAAATAATATATAAATACATATTTTATCATTGTATTTATATCTAAAATTAATATATACATAATATATGTATATACAGGATATATAGACAAATAAGATACATATTGACACAAATAATTAATTTTTCATCCATTTACTTTCTAATTTTGGAGGGATTATTTTGGTGAGTTGAAAAAAAAATTCATTTATTAACTTTTTCATTCTTTCTATTTTCCTTCCATACCAAACATAATATTTTTTTTATTCCTATAACTTTTCGTTCTTCCAACTCTCTATCCTTCTATTTTTCTATCATACCAGATGGAACATAAAAATTTAAACCAACACAAAAAAAATATAACATAAGTATTTATTTAATAACACTTCAATATGAGCAGCCTCCAAATGTCAACTAGATACCACAACTTGCTGGAGGTGAATAATGCCGAGGGATTGTTCTTTTTTTAAAATAGTGAGAGAAAAATGATTAAGATGTCAGTTGGGTTAGTTGGGGATTGGAGGTTGTAACTAATACTGGTTCATCTCCTCTGGAGTAGAGAACATCTTCTTCCGCTTGACTGGTCTACCATAGAAGAGAAAACAAACAAAACACCACTTTCAGAGGTAATTAATTTAAAAACATACAGTAGCTTCTAACTCTTTGTTAGGGAGCAAAGAGTAAGGAATGATTCGAGGATTAGTATTCTTTGTTCAAAAACCTCTCGGAAGGAAGGGTTCTATTTCTGTTGATGGCGATAATGATTACTTAAATCTCTATCTTTTGAATATCTCGGATATTTTAGTTGTTGTGTTGATGACGACAATGATTACTCAACTTTTTAACTTTTTAGTTGCAAGTTGCAATGGTAACTAATGGATTGAATCATTAATCCAAAGTGCTTTAAATGTTAATGGCACATCATTGTCTTTTTTTTTTAAGTTTAAGAGAAAAATAAGTGAGGAGGATTAGGAAGCTAGTGATTTTAATGTTTATCTAGATGAAGAAGAGTCTTATACTAAAGAGTGGGTAGGGCTGGTGAATTATTCAATTCACCATCTTTTTAATACCAAGTTGAATAGTTAATAAAGATATAAACAAGAACTCAATGATTTAAGTGTTTCGGTGGCTAAGGTAACAATCTACTTGCACGAAAGAAGAGAGGGAGATGTTCTTATTCATTGTATCTGAAGAGATATAACAATAGCAATATATAGAGATACGAGAATTATAGAATGTCATTAATTGTGTAATCTAATTTGGTAACTGCCAAAAAAGAATACAAAAAATTTGGTCTCAACAATCAACCCATGAATAGAAACAAATTCAGTAATATCCTCTCTTCTCCACCAACAGTTAACAATATCGTGAAATCATTAATCAAAGTGTTTTTTGTTTTTATTAATCATTTTTTTTCGTTTTACCATTGAATCTAAGATTCATCATTATGAAAGAAGAGTAACCATAAGGCTTCACCATGTATTTACTAATTCAAAAGAAAAAATAAATTATATATCATTTTGTGAAAAACATAAAAGAAAAAAGAATACTCTTGCACGTCTTAAACACAATGCTCTTAACTCTTAAGGTTGTGGTCAAGGTTTATAGTCGAGATATTATTCATTAAAAAATATTGGTCACGATATTATATAATAGTATTGGACAATAAATACAAATTATATATCACTTTGTGAAGAACATAAAAGAAAAAACGAATACTCTTGCTTGCAAGTCTCAAACACAATGCTCTTAACTCTTACCGTTGTGGTCATGGTTTATAGCCGAGATATCGGACAATAAATATAAATTATCTATCGCACTTTGAACACCATCAAAGAAAAAAGAATACTCTTGCACATCTCAAACACAATGCTCGCTATGGTCATGGTTTATAATTGAGATATTATTCATTAAAAAATATTAATCACCGCATCATACAATCGTATGGGACAATAAATACAAATACTTTGATTAAAAAAGAAGTTGAATATGATTAAAGATCAAGGCAATATCGAAGGGTTGCGTAAGGGTGTTAAGCGATAGGCCTACATTTGAAGACCAAGAGTTCTCACTTCCCCTAAAGAATCATTCAATTCAACTCTGGAAAAATTTTGAAATCCGAAAAAGTGGTTATTGGCGGGCCTAGTGGTCACTCGGGAGACAAAGGCCACTATATAACTAGTCGACTTAGTACAGACCATTTCGAGTTTCTCGAGTGTGTGTGTGTGTGAGTGAGTGAGTGCGTGCCTCTGCCTCTGCCTCTCTGGTGGTAGGAAAAAGCGTAGTTTCGCCACTCAGCAGCTCTCAGCTCGCCATCGTCTGTCCTCGTAAGCAATCTTTTATCACAGTTACCAGATGAATTTCGTGATCAGTCTGTGATTTGAGCTGCAAATGAGGTAGAAGAAGCTCTTCTCTGAGTTCCGATGGTATTCAATCAGCATACATGGAGGCTAACGAATTTGAGCTTTATAAGCATTTGTTCGTCTAAGCCACTTCGATTTGAGGTAACGAAATCTGTACTAGATCTCTGTTCTTTTGGTGATAATTCGATAATTTTCTTTAACACCTTTTTTCGTAAACAATCTATCTATTTATTTCTCATCCTGTGTTTGGTTGCTGAGAAAAAGGAGTAAATAAGAGGAGAAATGAATTTATAATGCGAAAATTCAAATTTAGAAAGTGTGATGCTAGTGAATTTATGTTACTCTCTGTTGTTATGTGAGTAGAACCATAATTTATCACATTATTTGTTATTTTGTCCTTGAATTTTCCGCTACTGGAGGAGAACCTGCTGATATTAGTTCGTTTTTGTGCCTCAGGTGTGCCTCTACTCATCAATTTCACGGCGTTGATTTTAAATTGAGCTTCTGACTTCATCTTGTTCTCTTTTAGTCTTGAATACTTGTACTTGATTCTCCACTATATTATATTTGAAATTATGGAGAATTCAATTAAGAAGGTCCAGAGCTTGACTATCTCCGTTTGTTCCTGCCAGCGTTAGCTTCTTTGATCATACATCGCTTGTTACATCGACTTCGTGTATCTGGTTCCCGGGAAAAGAGTAGAAAAGATGGTCTGTTCGTTATCAACTTCGGCTGGGCCACCAATTAAACGAAGGGCTGGTTTGTGGAGAGTACAGGCGGGACGAGGATCATACCGTGGAAGTTAGGTCTATAGTGGATAATTTTGGCTGAATTAAACCTTTATTTACTACTGGAACGTTTTAGATTTCTTCACAAGTTAACTGATGGGGACTACTCCTCTGAGGCAGTTCCTGCAGAGTGTTTGCTGCAATTCTCCTTGGAATTATGCAGTATTTTGGAAGCTTCAGCTCCAGAACCAAATGTAAGTAATCTCCAAGCCTTTTTTATCTCATTGTTCTCTGAAATCTGATCAGTTCTGTTCTCAATTTGATTCAGCCATTGTGCTACCAACCTCTATAATCGTCATGTGTAATCTTTTATTTTTCCATGTTTTAAGTGGGATTCTGTATAAGAGGCCATCGGTTCAGGCTTCATAGACTATCCGTGAAGAATGCAGCACTTGATTGGCATGGGCTGTAAATGGACAAATTTGATTTTACGATTTTGATTCTGTGCCCCGCTTAAAAGAAAAATTATAATCTAACATGAAAAACTGTTTTAAGCAAGATCCTGGAATGGATGCAATTTAACTTTAAATCAAGTAAGTAGTTTGTCATGGGTGGAGCCACCCTTGGCCCAAGGTGGTCATCGGCCCACCTTCAAATATTTTGTTGGGACACCACATGTGAGAATCTCACATTGAATAGAAAAGAAATTGAAAAAAATCATAATAGTCTGGTTTATTAGTGATCAAATCAAATAGAAAACAAATTGGAATAGTTTTAATATATCATGATTAGGCATATTAGATGTGTATAGAAAACATATAGTTCAACTTGTATCTGAATAAATTTGGATTATATTATTTTATCCTTATAAATAAAGTTTAAGTATTATATAATTAGTTAATAGATGATCAGTTTTCTAGTGAATAATCCATTGATGTAACGTTTTGGTTCGTAGTTGTAGGTACGTTATATCGAACTATGTTATATATTTATTTTTTGTTTCATTGTTTTTCCTATCTTGAATTCCTATATCCCAAATTATGGTATAAGTGTTTAATTATTTGTTGTGCAAAACCAACATATTTGAACAAATTATACCTATACATGTGTATAAACCTATGTTGAGAATGTTAAGGTAGATGTGTGAAAAAATTAGAAAGAATAGAATATAAAATGACCGTATTAGAGAAATGGTAGGAGCAACGATAAGTTGGAGGCCTATAGAGGCATCGGTTAGAAAAAACGATATAATTTTTCTTAATGGTAGTTGGAGTAAGGGTAGATTTAAATTAACATTGAACGAAATAATAAAAAAAAATATGAAAATATTTAACTTAAATGAGCTTATAGGACCGATATGGATGGCGAAGACAAACTCATATAGTAACCCCAAATGATTGGGACATAAGGTTTGATTGGTTATGTGTATAGATCTACGTTGTTCATTTCCTCAAATATTTTATGGTGCCCACCCTATCACTTTTGTATAGGGCCATATCTTGATATTTGTGGATACATTGCGGACACCCTTCAAATAGGTTTAAATAAATTTTGGATACATTTGGGTCATTTTATATATTTTTTTCCATAGAATTACTTGATTTTTTTTTTTTGAAAATTAGGGTCAATTGTATGACAAAATACCTATGAAGCACGGATATTGATATGGAATACGGGTACGATACGAATACGGCGATACGACAATGTTTAAAAAAGTAAGATACGGGTACGGCCAAAATACGACTATAATAAAATATATTAATATTTTTATTATTTTTAACCAACTTAATACTTATATATTTTTTATATTTACAAATTGAAGTGACTAATTAAAGGAATCAAAGTTAATATTTATTTAGTATTTAGAAGTAATTTTTGTTAAGATTATAATGTAATAATTTTATTTTATGCTCTTTTAACATATAATTGTAGATAATACTTAAAAAAACACTCATGTACTTTTGAAGTAATATGAATTTTTTGTTAATCTATTGTATAATACGTGAATTCGAAAAGAGATGTTAAAAATTCAACCAAAAAATTGTATATGTTGCTCGACTACAAAAGTATTCGTGAAGTATCTTAATATTTAATTATTATCGAATTCGTAGAAGGTGTATCTAATACGTATTCTCGAGTATCGTATCCGATACGGGATCCGATACGGGTACGTCAATTTCAACGAAGTATTTGTGCCTCATAGCAAAATACTGTCATATTTGAAGAATATAAAAAACTATGGTTATAATGTAAAATGGCAAAACGTTGTCTTAAAAAAAACTCATATGTAAGATTTACTGGCTAACGAGATTACTAACAAAATCGAGGTAGGACTCAAGATATTTAGAGCAAAATCAATAGAGGAAAAGGCGTGATCGGTAACTGTCCTACTCTTCGATGGCTGTGTGATGCTCCAACGAACTATGACTTCTATTTATTTGAGATATGACGAGTTGGCAATATTGCTGCCCATGATTTTTTGGATCTTTGGGTTCTTGTATCCATGATTTAGCCATTGTTTAGTTTTTTTCTGAGAATATATGTTATAATTTGTCTGTAATTGGGTGTTTAGTGTCATATTATTGGTTTCAATTTTTTTGTTTTTGTGATCGACCTCTAGAAGTAAAGGCTCACCCTCCATTGAGTTTCTGGTTCTGCTCCGGGTCACTGGTTTTGTCATGTGTTATTTTATGTCAAAAATTAGTTTCTAAAGAGTAGAAACCTGATAGTTCTTGTTGTGGATGGATTGTTAAGGATCAACATTTGCTTATAAGGAAAGATTGATTACTGATTTGTTATGTTAATATTTGTATTGTTTACCTATTGATCAGGGTTTTGACATGGGAAGATGGATACTGCAACATCCAGAGGTTGAGAGATTCCATGGAAAGTATATTAGACGATCTCTGCCTAAAAGGCTCAGATGAGTTGTCTTCAAATTTTGAATGCAGTACACTCGATGGCAATAATCCAACTGGACTAGCTGTGGCTGAGATGTCAAGTGTTCATTATGCATTGGGAGACGGGTAATTCTCGTGCTTGACCCCTGTTATTTCTTTTTGTTTACTTATTTGCGGTATTACTGAAAAATTATGTACATATTTTCACAAATTAAATAATTTCATCATGTCACCATATTTTGCTGGTTATTCCATGAATGGAGGTTCTGAGGCAGGATCCTTGTCAATCATACTTATACTTATTTTCCTTTAGCCTCCTCTCACGTTATCTTGGATCATTGAGTTCTGCATCATTACAAGTCCTCTGGATGTTATTTGTGGAATCGTCTACCCATTGTTCCCTTCTATTCTCTTGTTGGAACCACAAGAGATTGATGGCAAGGTCCAAAAGGAGTAGAAAATCCCCAGGATCACTCAACCATGCTCAACAGAATTGACTCAACTTTGCTGATCGTGGAAAGATGAGTTGACTCCTGAGCAAGAACTTACAGAGAATAAGATTCTTTCAAAACAACTTTCTGCTTCTTTCTTAGTTGGTGATACATGGTATATAGTTGCACATAGAAAATTAGGCCATCAGAAAACACCACGGAAGTTGTTACGACGTAACTTATGTTAGAACTAAAGCAAGACAAACAACGCCCTCCATTGTGGAGGCCCCTTCTCTGAACATTAAATTAATGTCCTCAACAAAAAGAAAAGACATAAAAATACCTCCTACTGCTTTTACATCCCCGTATGACCAAGTCAAAAAACCAAACCTTCTGCATAATGGATTCCACAGGGACCAGCTATGCGGCTGCATCATCTTTCTGAAATATTCTTGAGCGAGGCCATATGTCTTCCCTTGTGTTCTTAGCTGACAATTATAACCTCGGGCATTCCTTGGTAATAATCCAAGACATCCTGTGGTAAGGTCTGAACTGTACTTTGATTTAATTGGATACCCTATTTTTTGGATATTTAACCAGGGCAGTGGCGAGCTGAACTGCGTGCTTACGATTTGAACTACATTTGTATGAAAAAGGAAACGTGAACTGTAAATAGATCTAACTGATTTTAAAATATTAATATTGAACCAGGATTGTTGGCGAGGTGGCATATACAGGGAACCATCGCTGGATTTTATCTGATAATATATCAGGCGGTGCATTATTTCCCAAGGTGAATTTCCTGTCAGAGTGGTCACTTAAGATTTCTCTAGAAAGATAATAACTATAGCGTTTAGTCCTGTGTCTATGGGAAAATATTTTACTCATGTGATTCATCCATTGACAGTGTCCAGATGAATGGCTGCTTCAGTTTGTGGCCGGTATCAAGGTAAGATTGAATTTTACTCTGATAATGGGTTGTTCCCCCAAGTTTCTGGCCTCTGGAGAATATTCTGTTTATTTTCATTTGATGTTTTGCAGACTATTTTGCTGGTATCTGTTGTTCCAGATGGAGTTCTTCAACTGGGCTCATTTAATATGGTTCGTATATTTATGATTAATGATGCATTGGTATAGAGCATTGTTCTTGTTTAGATCACTTTAGTAGTAGTGGTAAGAGGTTTTTATTTCAGCATTCATGGCATTATCTAATACAAGCCTTAGCAGTATGCTATCATATTAAGGATATGAGAGCCATCGATTTGTGATTGGAAGCCATGGACTGCTTAGTGAAATGACTTAGGGTGCTTGTGTCTACGCTCATCACCAGAGAAAACCCATCTCTGTGCATGTGTTGCTCTGTGGCTCTTTGATGTTCTTCTCATGTGTGGCTTTACTATGCTATTGAGATTTCAGGTTGCTGAAGATCTGGCTCTGGTTACTTGTCTAGTAAATAAATTTAAAGACATTCAAACTGTGAGGTATTCTGCACCTTTCACCTCAAAAAGGAAATTTCCAGTTCAGACATCCTTATTACCGATGTCTACCCTCACGGAGAACTTTGATGAGTCATCTGCCATGAGAATGAATGGAATAAAGTCTGGAGATTCAAATTCTGTTGACGGTATCAAATCAACAATGCGGCTGTTGACTACAGATCAACTGATGCCTTCGTGCATGATTCAAGATTCTTGTAACATGTTTGAAAAATATTTGCCTAATATTCTTGAAGGTGCTACTGAAAATGATAGCAATGTGCAATCAACGAGTCTGATTGAAGTGGAAGAGCTACTCAATCAATCCCTTTATGATGAAAATGAAGAGATGACAGATGTTAACATGTTTAAGTTTTCTTTTCTGGAAGAAGAATTACAGGACATTTCTTGCACTAACATGTACAATTCAGGGTCTTTGGGGACTATTCCAATGAAATGATGAATGATTACTCTGATGAAGGGATAATGAATCAAACATTTGTAGATCAGTGTGCTAATAAGACAGTTCACAAACATGTAAGCAGTTTCTTCAACTTCCCTAGATACTGTGAACTGCATAAAGCGCTTGGATCTGCTTTCCTGGGTCATACCAAACAGAATTTGTTGGACTCGTTCATCTCAAGCGAGGATGCATGTATCAGCTCAAGTCTTAATCAGTCATCGGCCTGGGAATTTGGTGGTGTGTGTGTCAAAGGGCATGATGCAGAACATCTCCTGGAAGCTGTTGTTTCCAATGCATGTAGTGGTTCAGATGATAATTCATCTAAAAGTGCCAAGTCATCTGCAGCCTCATCAGAACAATATGCCGCTTCTTCAATTGCACAAATTAAATCTGAAGGAAGTACCATGACTGGAAAGCTTACAGTTCCATGGAGCTCTGGGACTACTTCATTTCTCGGTAGGGGCGTTACTGCTAGTATGAATTCTTATCCTTCAGATTCCTCATTTGAGAACATGATGGGTGCATTTAAGGAGGAGCATCAGAAAAAGGATTCTGGTTACCTACACCCTCTTAAGGGATCAAAGCTATCTAATTTCAGCAAAGGAAGGGCCAAACCTGGTGAAAACAAGAAACCTAGACCAAGGGATAGGCAGTTGATACAGGATCGGGTAAAGGAGCTACGAGACCTTGTCCCAAGTGGAGCAAAGGTGGGTTTGTGTTGGTTGCAGCTCAGATAGACTAATTGCATATTTGCTACCCCCCCCCCCCTCTCTCTCTCTTTCTCCCCCCACCTTTCTTCTTTTTCTCTCACGTTTAACTAATAATATGCCTTTTTCTTCCATATAAATGCAGTGTAGCATTGATGGCCTCTTAGATTGTACCATAAAGCACATGCTGTTCTTGAGAAGTGTTACTGATCAGGCTGATAAGTTGAGGCAGTGTGTTCATCAAGAAGTAAGTGAATGTAGTCCAAATCGTAGGTGCTCTCCTTTTGAGCTTGTCATAGCAAACTCGATATCCAATTTCATTTCCATCCCCTAATTAATTTAGTTGGGGCAGTTGATACTTGTCTTCCTGCTTTAAGTCAACTGTCCAATAGTTTCTTATCAGTAAAATTTACTTTCCGACAAAAAGAGTCAACAGTCCAAACTTTGTGACAACACTTCAGTATCCTGAGTGACCATCCCAATTTATTTGTGATGCCTGAAATTCTTTGCAGGTGAGCGGCCAAAGGAACATAAAATCATGTGAAATCAAAGCTTGTCGGCAGAATGGAACAAGCTGGGCTTTTGAATTGGGAAGTGAGAAACAACTATGCCCCATTTTGGTGGAAGATCTTGAATTCCCTGGCCACATGATAATAGAGGTCTGACTTCTGGCTTTGTTTGACCCCCCAACAAACACACACACATCACTTAGATGAGCCCCAAAAAGCAACGTAAGAAAAGTGAAATTTGTGTGAAAATACGGAATTCAGAAATTTAAAGGGATCAGATTAGATTAGATTAGATTAGATTTGTATTGGGTATGAAATGAATCTTGTCTATTCCTATATCCTAAAACCCCTGTAAGACTAGAATTCTATAGTCATCTTGTTCATATATCGAAAAAGCTTTGGAACGAGTTTCAATTGTTATATTAAAGTTTGTCTCCTCCCCAAGGTAGCATTGCCGAGGGGCAATCCCTGTATTGTTTATCCAGACAAGCAACAAAAAAAAAAAAAACGTGTGCACTTTTTCCTCTCACCACTCTTTCATCTTGAGGGGCTTAAGCCTTCTAAGATTCTTTGCAGACCAATGAGTCTTTGGTCTAATGGTACTTATTATCTTGTGAAAATTTTGCCTTATTGAGGTGTTTAAGTCCCCCTCTCCCTCCCCTCCCCAAAAAAAATTTTTGAAAAAAAAAAAAAATTCTTTGCAGCCACCAGTGCAAATAAGCTTGTATACTTCTTCCACGCTTGCATGTTTGTTTTAGAACTTTCTAATTCAGTTTTGTAACAGATGTTATGCGAGGACCATGTGCGCTTCCTAGAGATTGCAGAGGCAATACGTCGATTGGAGTTGACTATCTTGAAGGGTGTGATGGAAACTCGTTCAGGCAATACATGGGCTCACTTTATTGTTGAGGTATGGAGTTAATCGGCTAACTGGTACCGTGATCTTCAATCTCCTTTGTTCGTTTACACAGCAAACAATTTTTGAAGCTATTTTTTGCTATGAATACAGGCTTCAAGAGACTTTCACAGGTTGGATATCTTCTGGCCGCTTATGCAACTTCTGCAGCAAAACCGAGCTCCAATTTCAAGCAAAATTTGATGGTCTACATCAAATTCCAATTAAGTTGTACTATGTCGTTGTAATACTATGTCTTTAGGTTAATAATGTATATAAGTTTGCAGCATGCTTTAGTCTAGCTCGTGTCAAAATTTGCTCAATTAGTTTTGAATTCATTTAGTTTGTATTGTACCCTTGTTACGATCCCACATCGAATAAAAATAAGACTAGATATGTGTATATAAATTGTTGTGCAGCCTTCCCTTGCAAGCCGGTTTTCAAGGGTAAATTTTGCCTATGGGTTCATAACAATGGTATTAGAGTTAATCACCATGTTGGCTATGGGAGTCACAGAAAGAGTGACCTATATAGTATTATCTCATTAAATACTGATAAGTAAATGAAACCTACTCTCTATAACCACTGTCTCAATTAACACTGTACCTATAAATTGTAAGTCCTTTCCACATAAGAAGGGCAACTCTCTAAACACCTATCTATTTAATAACTACTCAATCTCTCTCAGAGATTACCTTTGTTTTCTCTCTCTCTCGCATACCTTCTACTTTATTAATAAAATCCTCTGGTCACTGTTGTCGCATTCGGAGTGGAGTAGGTCACCCTGATCGAACCATTATACATATGTGTGTTGACGTAGTATTTGCGTTCTGTTATTAATTGCTTTATTGATTGTTTTATTTTGAATCATACACTCGACTGTTGATTGTGCATAAGCCTATTTTGTGCATCATTAGTTTGGTTCCGTCTGTGAGAAACGACTGAGTTTTCTACCATCTTTGTTACTTTCTTTCAAATCAATGACAATTGCAATTAGATCGATGAACCAACAATCCAAAGACAACGACTTAGCTCGTCGGGAGGAGGCCCCGTCTCCGGCTCTACTAGCGGAACTGTCCACAGTTGCAAATCTTGTGGTCGAACAATAATTGTTAAAAACTATAAATGTGCTGGTGAGTCCAAATTAACAAATTCTCCAACTGATGCTCACTTTAAGACGCGTCGTCCCTTAACCCGTAAGAGGAACACCATTCCCCTTAATAAGAGAAGTGCCACAACCTCCCCATTCTAGGCGCCAAGGTGTCCCCCATCATGGCACCCAGCGCTATGGTGCCCCTCACTAGGGAGTCTCCCCTTAACGCGCAAACGCCTCACATATTACCCCTCCTCATGTACCTGCTCCACACGCCGCTGACCATCCTACTCAGGAGCATGAGAGAGAGAACCAGTATGCGGATCATGAAAGCTACTATAATGATCCAATAGAGGATGTCCCTAACCAATGAAACGAGAAAATTAAGGAGGTGCAAAACCAGCTTGGTGATGCCCTTAACGCCATCAAAGCACAGGCGCCAGAGACGATAGATTATCTAGTAAGGCGTATTGACACTCCGTTTTGTGGTAGATATTGTCAACTACCCTTTTACCCTTTAAGTTAAAGATGTCTTCCATTGAGATCTTAGATGGCACCAAAGACCCCATCGATCATCTCGACACATATAAATCTCTCATGCAGCTCCACAATGTGTCTGATGAGATTATGTGCAGAGCCTTCTCCACCACCCTTAAGGGGTCTGCACGACAGTGGTTTGCGAATCTTAAACACTCTTTTATCCACTCCTTTGCGGAGTTAAGCAAATCCTTCATCTCCCACTTCATTGGAGGAAGCTAACACCAGAAGCCAGTTACCTACCTACTTACCATCAAGTAGGACCAGGATGTAAGCCTTAGGAGCTACCTTACTCGTTTTAACAAGGAGGCTCTCCAGATCGAGAAGCCAAATGACAAGGTAACCATAACCGCCTTTATTGTAGATCTGCGCTCTTCTAATTTTATGTTCTCTATCCTAAAGAAGTCACTCGCTAGCATGCTTGAGCTGCTGTCAAGGGTAAGTACATGAATGTCGACGACATCACCAAGGCCAGACGAGTTGAGTCCTCTTGAGGAGGTGAAAAAGGGTAGGACACTCGCGAGGACAGGCGGGAAGCAGAGAGTAAGAGGAAGAGGACAAAAAAGGTCTCTTTCAAGGACCACCTTGGTGTCGCACCTCATAGGGAGCGACAAGTCTTCACGTTGCTCAATGCTTCGATGGAACATATCCTATTCCAAATACAAGATGACCCTACCCTTTCGTAGCCAAGAAAGATGAAGTCCGCCCCAAATCGAAGAAATCCAAAAAAATACTACCGCTTCTACCATGACCATGGCCACAACACTGATGACTGCTTCGAGCTTAATAGACAGATCTATGAGCTTATTTAGCATGGTCAATTACGATAGTATGTCGCAAATAGAGGATAGGCCCTACCCCCTGATTGGAATCAGTAGGATAGAGAGCGCCAACAACCCCTTAGAAAAATCCAGACGATCTCAAGAGGGTTAGGAGGAGGGAGTGACTGCAACTCGCTAGGAAAGCACACACCAGGAAGGCCAGACGGGTAAAGTCGCATGACTCCCTCTTGACAAAGACGCCCTGGCACGAGGAAGAAGAGGTCATCACCTTCTCGGACATAGACCTTGAGGGAATCCAAGTTCCTCATGATGACCCTCTAATCTTAACCATGATGATAACCAACTATCAGGTTAAGAGAATTCTGGTCGACAACGACATTTCAGCTGATATCTGTTCATACCAGCCTTTGACAGCCTCCACCTTGGCAAGGAGAGATTATAACCCATCAAGATTTCCCTTGTTGGCTTCTCAGGGAAGAGGGTTTATCCCTTGGGTTCCATCACCCTACTAGTCACAACAGGGACAACGCCAAGATGTTCCACCATCATGGTGAATTTCATAGTATTGGGCTACCCCTCTGCCTACAATATTATTCTTGGACGTCCTGCACTCAACACCTTAAGGGTAGTGCTGTCCACATACCACCTACTCCTCTATTTCCCAATTCCTGGTGAGATTGGAGAAGTCAAAGGAGATCAGATCTCTGACAGGGAATGCTACGTGGCCTCTATAAGGGTTAGGAGGCCAAAAGAGACCCTCCAGGTCGAAGTACTTAAACCTCGGGATGATAGCACCTTGGAGAGAGGGGAACCAGCAGAAGAACTTCAGCTAGTAGAGTTGGACGAGAGCCTTCCAGAGGGGAGAATCTATATTGGCTCCTCACTTTCTCAGGAGCTAGCATCCCACCTAGTAGACTTCCTCAGGAGGAACATGTATGTCTTCGTTTGGTCCCACAAAGACTTAGAGGGTATCAACCCCGNCTTCGTTTGGTCCCACAAAGACTTAGAGGGTATCAACCCCGAAGTCGTCACTCACGGGCTCAATGTGGACCCCAGGTACAAACTGGTCCACCAAAAACTGAGGAATATAAGCCCCGAAAGAGTCCAGGCCATGGAGAAGTTGTTGGCAAACGGGTCAGTAAGAGAAATAGCTTACCCAGATTGACTATCAAACGTAGTGATGATTACAAAGGCCAACGAGAAGTGGCGCCTCTGCGTAGACTTCACGGAGCTCAATAAAGTTTGTCCCAAAAATAGTTATCCTTTCCCACGCATTGATCTTCTTATTGATATCATTGCGGAACACGAGCTCCTGAGCTTCCTAGATGCTTACTCTAGGTACAACCAGATTAACATGTTCTCTTCAAATCAGGAGAAAATCTCATTCATCACCCCAAGGGCACTTACTGCTATAGAGTGATGCCTTTCGGAGTCAAGAATGTTAGAGCCACATATCAGTGCCTCGTAAATAAGATGTTCGAGGCACATATTGGGAAAACTATAGAAGTCTACATGGACAACATGTTGGTGAAGAGCATGGCCGCATCAGATCATAAGACACATTTGCAAGAGACATTAAATATCTTGAAAGCCTACAAGATGAAGTTGAATCCTGAAAAATGCGCCTTGGCATTAGTTCAGGAAAATTCTTAGGTTTCATGGTAAAAAAAGAAGGGGGTATTGAGGCTAACCCAGACAAGATTAGAGTTATCTTGAAGATAAATTCTTTGGCCTCTATAAATGAGGTCCAGTGCTTTAACGGGAGGATAACAACCCTTAGTAGATTTGTCTCAAAATCAGCAAACAAGTGTCTGCCTTTTTTCATAATCCGTCGCAAAGTTTTCTAGAGGGGACCAGACACAGAGGAAGCCATCCAAAAGTTATAGACCAACCTTGTCACTCCTCCCTTGCTTTCCTATGTTGTACTAGGAGAGACCTTGTACCTTTACCTCTCCTCCTTGTCCTCTGCCGTGAGCTCCATCCTTGTTAGGAAAGATGGAGGAGTCCAAAAGCCTGTATACTATGCAAGCAGGGCATACCGAGGACGGGAGGTGAGATACTCAGAGCTGAAAAGGATGGCCCTTGCACTTGTCACCGCCGCCAGGCGCCTATGCCACTACTTCTAGAGTCATACCATCGTGGTTGTTACAGATCAACCACTCAAGGGATTCTTAGAAAAGCTAGACGTCTTTGGTCGACTTCTCAAATGGGCTGTTGAGTTGATCTAGTTCCACGTGCAGTACTAGCCAAGGGAGGCCATAAAAGTGCAAGCAATTGTAGACTTTGCGGTCGAATCTACGTCGTTAGAGGAATACCTGGAAGAAGCATTATGCTCCCTTGTGCTCACCTACCCGGTGCACAGCACCTCTAATCACCACGAGGCAAGCCCATACACCATCCCTAGAAGGCCTGGAGCCTTAGAGACAGCCTCTTAGGCCCCTGAAGACCATACTCTAAGGCTAGAGGTGCCCCAGCCCCTTGTACCTGCTCCTCCAGAGCCGTCAACACCTTCTCTACCCATGTCTCAACCTGTTGTGCTCCTGCCTAAATGCCCTGTTGCGCTTAAGTAGGCATGCCCTACTTGCGCTATACCTTACTAGAGACAATATGTTGATGGGTCCTCCAAAAGCGAGGGTGGCGATGCGGGGCTGGTACTGATCGACCTCTATAACACTCTACTCAAATACTTCGTCTCCCTCCACTTTGCAGCATCAAACAACCAAGCAGAGTACGAAGCCCTCATACTAGGTTTGAAGCTGCGATCGAGATGGAAGTCCTCTACTTGACGGCTCATAGCGATTTCCAGCTGATAGTCAACCAAGTAAGAGGAGCTTTTGAAACGCATGAGGAAAGGATGCAAGAATACCTGTCAGTGGTCCAAGCCTTATTGAAAAATTTTAACGTCTTCCAGATTTATCACGTGCCTAGAAAAGAGAACGTCATGGCAGATGCTCTCGCCAAGTTTGCATCTGACAACATACTCATGGGCCACGCACTGTCAGACCACCAGTTTGAGCCACACAGACGCAAGGCAGAGAAGGATGATGTTAATTATGCATCCTCTAAAGCCAACTAGATGACACCTATTAGAGCCTACCTAGAGGAAGACACTATCTCAGACAACCTAGTGGAGGCCAAAAAATTAAGAACGAGAGCATCTAGGTATGTCTTCCTGCGTGACACTCTCTACAAGAAAAGCTAACTTCACCTACTCTGCTGCCTCTCCCCCGAGGAAGCCGATTATGCCATGAGAGAAATTCATAAGGGGATATGTAAAAATCACTTAAGAGAGCATGCACTATTTTACAAGGTAGTAACACAAGTCTATTACTGGCCTAGCATGATCAAAAATGCCTGTGAATTCGTAAGGAAGTATGACAAATGCCAGCGCTTTGCAACCATGCCCATACAACCACCAGAAGAGCTCACCACCATCCTGAGCTCATGACCTTTTTCCATGTGGAAGATCAACATTTTAGGCCCCCTACCCATCAGTCGGGGCCAGTGCAAATGTGTGGTAGTAGCCATTTGACTATTTCATAAAGTGGCAGAAGCCGAATCCTTAGGTAGGATAATGGACCAGAAGGTGAAATACTTCATATAGAGGAGCATAGTTTGTCATTTTGGAGTACCTCATGCCATAGTAAGTGATAATGCCAAACAGTTTGACAATAAACTCCTTAATAACTTCTACGTTGACCTCTAGATTAAGCAATCTCACTCCAGCCTAGCCCAGCCCACCCACAGGCGAACGGGCAGGCGAAGGTCACTGTCAAAACCATCATTCGCAACCTTAAAATCAAATTAAAGAGTGCAAAAAGGCAATGGGTTGAACTCACAGGAATGCTGTGGGCTTACCAGACAACACCAAAAAGGCCTACAGAAGATACTCCTTTTCCCCTAGCCTATGGAACAGAGGTGGTCATACTAATTGAGAGTGGGGTACACTCCCTTAGAGTCAAACACCATGACCTTGCCACCATTGAAGAAAACATCTGCATCAACCTCGACTTAGTAGAGAAAGAGAGGGAGATAGCATGCTCAGGAATGTAGAGTAAAAGTTTCATGACCAAGTACTATAACTCGAGGGTGAAGCCTAACTCTTTCTTGCTTGTAGACCTTGTCCTTAAAAAAGTCATCCTATCTACTAAGGATTCTCAGAAGAAAAAAGCTAGGCCTAAATTGGAAAAGACCCTACTTGGTCACAAAAGTTGTAAGTTCAAACACCTATAGAATTTAGAACTCTGAGGAGAAACCACTAGCCCATCCATGGAATGCAGAGTACGTGAAGAGATATTACCAATAACTGGGGGGGGGGGGCAAGTCATTGGGTGCACAAGTCAGTAGCCATCATTTAAACTATCTCTTGTTGCTTTTATCAATTTTTGTTATCTACTCCAAGTTATGAAATCAAATTTTGCAAGATTATCTTTTTCAATTACTATCGCTCATTCCACATATTCATAAACTATTTACAAAAGATAGAACACGACCTAGCAACAAAAAGAGAAACTGTAGATAAAAACACTCCTGACATCACTCCTTGCCCCCCGATCCACTCTTATCAAAGCTCTTTTCATCACCATCACTCCCTAGTGCCTCATAAGGGATAATGCCAAAAAATTCATAGGCAGGAAAAGCTGCTGAGACCTTTCCCTTAAGTTCCTCATAACCATCGATAAAGGCACCTACTACAGCCCTCTCAGTAGCCTCCCTCCTCTTCTCCATCTCAATGAAGTGACTCTTTGCCCTGATATCTCTCTCAAGAGTTGCTCGAAGGTCAGCCTCTGCCACGATAGCCTTCTTGCGAGATGCCTGTAACTCTGCCTTTACTCTCAAGCAGGTAACCTCTCTGTCAGCCTCCAGCTGGGCGGCCCTTTCACGGGACGCCAGAAGCTCACTCTTAAGGAGTACAACTCTCTCGTGTGCTAGCCTCAACTGCTCCTCAGTAGCCTCTTGCGTCTACCTCTTGAGCCCTAACTGCTCCTCAGTAGCCTCTCGTGCCTGCCTCTTTGATTCCAAATCTCTGAATGCCTCTCCAAGCTTCATCGTCCTTGAAAACAAGCAGGGAAAAGCGGCAGCTATCTACAAGCATGCAAGAAACAGACATAAGGAAAAAGATGTGGGTATAAAATCAAAGATAAGTAAAAGGCATGCCATAACAAATCATTCCATAGTAGTGTCAATGATGCCCTCTAGACCTCGAGAGCCGACTTCTTGGATCTCCGCAGCGGTCACAAACCCCTAAAGTCGCTCCTTGGCTAGATTCACGTCCTACAACATAGATACCGAACCATTACTAGAAATAAGGCAGTTAAGTGGAGCTCTGGTCCTCATAGGAGATCACATTGGAGCCTTAATCCCTATAGCCATACTAGGGCTAACTCTAAAATGCGATAGAGTCGCAGTCGAGGAAGGAGTGGAGGCATCACCGGGTCCTGCCTCCTGGAAACTAACCTAGCCACTGGACTTTGACTAGGAAACGCTAGGAGCATCAGATTTTGCCCTCTTAGAGGAAGGAGGGGAAANTAGAGTCGCAGTCGAGGAAGGAGTGGATGCATCACCGGGTCCTGCCTCCTGGAAACTAACCTAGCCACTGGACTTTGACTAGGAAACTCTAGGAGCATCAGATTTTGCCCTCTTAGAGGAAGGAGGGGAAGATGTCACTCTAGAAGCATAAACAACATTCACCATCGCTCTATCAACAATAGAACTTGTAAAATCGGTATAAGACAAAGAATCTATAGTTTACAACCACTAAAAGTTGATTGAAAGATCAAATACCTTTCTTTTTCTGCCTAGGAGAGGCTCTAGGATGACCTGATGCGAACATGATGGCTGAAAACTCCTTGAAGGGATGATCTTGCACAACCTAAAGCCCACTCTCCTGCTCTGGAGATAACATGGGGAAAGTTGCAAAGAAACCAAATGTACAATAAGCATAGGGACATGACGATTAGACATAAAAACAAAGGTAAAATTCTTACCTGCCTTAGTCCTCAGAATAGTGCCCCTCCTTGAAGACACTAAGTCACGGTCCCTCAGTAGTCCACTTGCCCCCAACAAAGAAAGACCTAGACTTCAAGCTANAGTTGCAAAGAAACCAAATGTACAATAAGCATAGGGACATGACGATTAGACATAAAAGCAAAGGTAAAATTCTTACCTGGCTTAGTCCTCAGAATAGTGCCCCTTCTTGAAGACACTAAGTCACGGTCTCTCAGTAGTCCACTTGCCTCCAACAAAGAAAGACCTAGACTTCAAGCTGTGGTAATTCGAGGGTAGTCCAATAATAAAATTGCCCGACCTCAGGGCAAAACGATACCACCCTTAATGAGAAGTAGGGTTCTCCAAAAACACGTATGAAGTCAAAAACCCCTTGAAAGGGGGAGGAACATCAGTGATGTGGACTAACCGCCATAAATAAAAGAATGTCAAGATCACCCTTCATCCGTTGGGAGTCAACCTCCCTGGAGCTAGTGATAGGTGTCCCAAAATTTGACAAATGATTCCGAGTATCGGGAACCTCAAACTCGCCTCCAGAACGTCTTCGTAAAGAACTATATCTCCCAAGGAGTCGTAACATACCGACTCGTCTCCCTTGGCCCAGCGACACGTAACAGCGGGAGGGACATGAAACGAAGATACAATATAAGCAATGTCATCATCATAGTCTATGGAGCAAAAGATCGAGATTACCTTCGACCCATCCCCTTTAGCACTTCCTTTGCCTTGGTGTGGAGTTTGTGCAATATTTGTCATGCTGCCCCTACTAGGTCAAGTACCTAACAAGACAAAAACCAAAAAAAGAGTGAAGGGTGCCAGGATTGGGAAAAAAGCCATGACCAAGATCAAATAACCCAAACGAAAGCGATATATATATTTTCCTTCAGCAGCCAGGTTTGTCAGCTCCAACCTCTTCATTGGGCAAGGTCTCAGTGCCTAAGTTTGTTCTCCCCTCGCTTGGACCTCCATTTCCAGCACCCAGCCTACTGCGAGGACCATTGCCCAGTGCACTATTGGCACCACACACACCCCTAAAGCTGCCTGGTACGCCGCAAAGGCCACACATGCCATTAGATCCGCCCAGCGTGCAGTTGACCCAACTCACAGTTGGCATCGACTACTCTTTCTCTTGCATTGGCGTTGCTAACCAGGCCCAGGACATCGCCTAGATGGCCCCTACTATTCTTCCCATTCTTGCTAATCCCACACGAATTGCCACCCATCGCCAAACTAGCTACACCTAGGCCTTTGGCTCTGCTAAACTTGCTCGTGCCTCTGCCGCTGGCGTTGCCCAGCACTCTGCTAGCGCCACCTAATGCATGACAGGCGTCGTCCTACCCCCTGGCTGCTTTAGGGTTGCCTTACTAGACTCCCTCTTCTTCACTTGAGGCGTTGCCTCTACAGATAACGTCACCATGAGGGCTAGATGGCGTCGCCCTTGGCTTCGCCAAACCTTGTTAGGTGGAGGCCTTTACTTGATCTCCCCTATAGTTCTACCACGGTGGTCTTCTTGGTCTTCAAAGTCTGTATCTTCATCTCCATTAAAGGTCACTGCATTGTATTAATAGATGGGTTGATTAGCTCAAAGGAAAGGGGCAGCAAGAGAGGAGGAAAATGGGGTAGTCTTTTTATGGATTGTATATATACTGATTATAAAGCCATGCCCTAGATTGAAAAAGGGATTTTTTTGTTGTTGTTGGGTATAATGGAAAATCCAACAGGTGGAATTTGGTACCTTCGCGATGNAAAGAGTGAAGGGTGCCAGGATTGGGAAAAAAGCCATGACCAAGATCAAATAACCCAAACGAAAGCGATATATATATTTTCCTTCAGCAGCCAGGTTTGTCAGCTCCAACCTCTTCATTGGGCAAGGTCTCAGTGCCTAAGTTTGTTCTCCCCTCGCTTGGACCTCCATTTCCAGCACCCAGCCTACTGCGAGGACCATTGCCCAGTGCACTATTGGCACCACACACACCCCTAAAGCCGCCTGGTACGCCGCAAAGGCCACACATGTCGNGACCTCCATTTCCAGCACCCAGCCTACTGCGAGGACCATTGCCCAGTGCACTATTGGCACCACACACACCCCTAAAGCCGCCTGGTACGCCGCAAAGGCCACACATGTCGTTAGATCCGCCCAGCGTGCAGTTGACCCAACTCACAGTTGGCATCGACTACTCTTTCTCTTGCATTGGCGTTGCTAACCAGGCCCAGGACATCGCCTAGATGGCCCCTACTATTCTTCCCATTCTTGTTAATCCCACACGAATTGCCACCCATCGCCAAACTAGCTACACCTAGGCCTTTGGCTCTGCTAAACTTGCTCGTGCCTCCGCCGCTGGCGTTGCCCAGCACTCTGCTAGCGCCACCTAATGCATGACAGGCGTCGTCCTACCCCTTGGCTGCTTTAGGGTTGCCTTACTAGACTCCCTCTTCTTCACTTAAGGCGTTGCCTCTACAGATAACGTCACCATGAGGGCTAGATGGCGTCGCCCTTGGCTTCGCCAAGCCTTGTTAGGTGGAGGCCTTTACTTGATCTCCCCTATAGTTCTACCACGGTGGTCTTCTTGGTCTTCAAAGTCTGTATCTTCATCTCCATTAAAGCTCACTGCATTGTATTAATAGATGGGTTGATTAGCTCAAAGAAAAGGGGCAGCAAGAGAAGAGGAAAATGGGGTAGTCTTTTTATGGATTGTATATATACTGATTATAAAGTCATGCCCTAGATTGAAAAAGGGATTTTTTTTTGTTGTTGGGTATAATGGAAAATCCAACAGGTGGAATTTGGTACCTTCGCGATGGATATTCAATAGTAAAGCTACTGTGAGAAGCAAGCCACCTACAATGAGGGACTCACTCATGCCCTTAACCCCCGTTTTTGTCACAAATGGGGATTGGGGCATGGAGGACAAATGATGAGCCCAGATCCAACTGGGTCAGGTCCAATGAATTGAGTAAACCCAAGTTAGTTACAAAGCAAGTCAAGCCTAACTTATGGATTTGACTCAGTCCAAAGTTCAAAAAATTCAGAAGGATTAGAGCATGTGGAAAGTAATTACCGAAATAATCACTCTCCTAAATCAAGATTGTCTCTAATTGTACATATCCTAATTGTAGTTATCATCTCTGAAAAGCTAGAAACCTACCCTCTACAACCACCCTTGCATGAGAGCAGCGCTCTACACAACCTTTACATAACTATCTCTCTCATAGCTACCTAACCTCTCACAGGACTTACCTTTGCTCTCTCTCTCTCCCACCTTCTACTTTATTAATAAAATCCTCCAACCACCTATACCGCCTTCGGAGTGGAATAAATCACTCTGACCGAACCACTATATATCTCTGTTGACCTAGTCTTTACCTTTTGTTATTAATTACTTTATTGATTGATTCATTCTGAATCGTACACTCGACTATTGATCGTGTAGAAGCCTATTTTGTGCATCACCTGATAATGCACTATGTTTAAACTCTACACATTTTAAGAGAATTCATCTTAGAAACAATTAACAAACACTAGTGCATATGAGAGTAGAAAGCTCATAGGGGCACGGTATGTAAGACAACATATATTCATGTACACTGTACACATAAGGAAACTGTTGTCCTAACAAAATTGTCTTGCTATTGCCACTTCTTCGACCACTTTGGGGATTCAAAGCTTGGTCTCTGCCAGTGCCACCAACCGTAGACGATGCTTATGGGCACACGATCATTACCTGGAACTTGAGAAGGTACATTTCGATCGATACCAAGCTGCAACAAAATCAATTGTGCAACGAAAAGAGATAATGNTAGTTTCAAAGAGTTTTACTTTGACCCCTATATTTGTCTCAATTTAATTTTAACCACAGTTTTACTTAGTAAGTTGGAAGAATAGAATTTTGAAAAATTTATGGCAATCCTGAAAGTAAAAAATTTGTTTTTCAAAGAAATTACACTTTGACCCTAAAAGTTTAAAAAAATTATGATTTGATCCCAAAACTTTAANAACCATACCTGGCCAAATTTTTTCCATCCCCAGCATTGGTTGTAGTCCAAATTCGCACTCAACACCTATAAGCAAGGAGGTATAGAATATCGATCTAGCTCTGCATAAATCTGTTGTACTTTTTAGTTTAAGGTTTCTCCTAGTGATAACTCAATAGTATACTATTAAAGACTTAAAATCACTAGAATGAGAGTACTTCCCCAACAAGTATTATATATATATATATATATATATAGTACAACAAAGTAGTCCTAATAGACCTATTAGGACTACTCTGGTTTAAATAGGATAATATTATTGAATAGATAAAATTCTAGAAGACCAAAGCAAGGGGCAGCAAGCAAAAAAAAAACATGAGAGAGAGAGAGAGAGAGAAGAAAGGAAAAAAAGAAAAAGAAAAAGGGAGAGATGGATCCATTGAAGGTATGTGGATGCATTACTTATTTTATGAGTTTTTTATTTTAGTATATCACATGGTGTTAGATTTCATAGTGTAATATATATATATATATATATATATATATATATATATATATATATAATTTTTGAAGATATTAAGTTAAATTTGGGTGTATAGTTATTTGAGATTTGATTGAGTTTAATAGGTTGAAAAAGGAAAAGAAAGGTGGTTGAGCTGTTAAAGTTGTAGGAGACTTCCTGTAGGTTGAAGAAGATAGGAAATCTAAAATTATGGAAAGCTCTCCTTTAGTTTCAAAGAGTTTTACTTTGACCCCTATATTTGTCTCAATTTAATTTTAACCACAGTTTTACTTAGTAAGTTGGAAGAATAGAATTTTGAAAAATTTATGGCAATCCTGAAAGTAAAAAATTTGTTTTTCAAAGAAATTACACTTTGACCCTAAAAGTTTAAAAAAATTATGATTTGATCCCAAAACTTTAGAAACTTTTTCTGAACAGCCCAGACTACTTCTATACAATATTACCTCATATTAGAAAGTATATTTATATGTAAAAGATATATATTAAGTATATATCAAAAGGTAGGAAGTACGTGCATTAAATATAGAATCGCAAAATAACGAAATTGAGAATAGGGATTGATCGTTATATGTTATTTTGGATTAGGAAGTGATTGCATTGAGGTTGAGAAAGAAGATTTTGAATTGAATTTTGGGAATCAAGATGATTAGTTTACTACTTCTTTTGGGAGGATTTTCTATATTAAATGTGCAGGTGCGTGTGTGTGAATTTTTTATATATATGATATGTGTTGATGATTGAGGTTGCAATTAAATATTTTACATTTGTGAACTGTTACACATGTGAATTTTGAAAAACTTGTGTGATGATTTTATATTATTACTTTGGTGATGAAAGAAAAATTTTGTGTGCTTTGGGACTAAAACAATTAGTTTTGGTGTGTGTGAAAATAGTGTTTTATGAGACTAAAACTAGGTTACTAAGTCTAAATGATAACGAGATTATATACTTGTGTGATCGGTATAGGGATGTGCACATAAGGGCCAACATGGTTCAAGATCGTGGTATCAGCCTTTGACTCGGATGCTACTGAGACACATCGATTGCTGTGTCATAGCGCAGTATCGGCTGAAACATTGACTGTTTCTTTTTTTTTTTTTTTTT